TAGACTTTGAAATAACATTTCAAAAGATGGTTTATATGTGGTGGACTGGAGTGATAGCACAGTGGGTAGGGCGTTTGCCTTGCATGCAGCTCACCCAGGCTTGATTCCTCCACCCCTCTCGGAGAGCCCAGCAAGCTACAGAGAGTATCCCGCCCACATGGCAGAGTCTGGAAAGCTCTCCGTGGCATATTCGGTATGCCAAAAACAGTAACAAGTCTCAGAATGAAGATGCTACTGGTGCCCGCTTGAGGAAATCAATGAACAACGGGATGACAGTGACAGTGACATTTTATATATGGAGGTAATAAATATTAATTATTTTATAGTTGGTTAGAAAAATATGAAGTGAAAAGTATAAAATATCAACTTTCAATTAAAGATGATGAGTTGAACAAAAGTTTGCTCTGCTGAACTTTATACCCCAGTAAAGCAACAACATCAGAATTAAAAATGCTTAAGTACATTGGCCAGACCAACAGTGCAATAGGTAGGGAATTTGACTTGCACACATGTGGCTAACGTGGGCTCTATCATCAACATCCTGTATTGTTCCTCGAGCACTGTAAGGAGTAATTCCTGAATGCAGAGCCAGGAGTAACCTCTGAGCATTGCCATGTGTGACCCAAAAGCAACAAAAAGAAAAATGTTTAAGTACATAAGACTAAGTACAACATGAGAGGATGAGTCAAAATTATTTGTATAAAATTGTATAAGATACAAAACTCTTTGTATAAAAATTGATAAAAAATAGTAAAAACTTAAAATTTGAGAAATTTTTTAAATAAATCATCAGAATGATAGGATCTGAAATCCAGTTTGTATCAGAATAAGAAAAATAGTATTTATCAGGAAAGGTAAGAAATCACAAGCATCTCATACTCTGAAAATGGGGTCTATAAGAATGTTATTGTGTTGTAAAAGATATTCATATTATAATTCAGGTGAGTGATATCTGAAAAATTATGAAATTTGATTATGAAAAGTAGTTATAAAAATATGACCAGATAACAATAAAATGTCTAAAGGCTCAGAACTGAGATCTAGTTTTCAAAAGAAAGCTTGAAATTAAGGATTTGGTGAGGGATAAATTGGAGAAGGGAAAACCTGGGTATTGGTGGAGGGAAGTGGACACTATGGTGGAGGGTGTGGTGCTGTCATAATGTATTCAAGAAAACTTACCTTTAACAGTATTGTAAATCACAGGGTCTTATATAAAATAGAAGTTATTTTTTTTTATTTCCCAAGAGCATGCTAAAAGGACAATGTAGTATTTGAGTCTACTACATATTACCTATTTTGTTAAAGACCATTATACTTAACCTATGAAAAAAAATTGACTGCAGCTTATACTAAGGTTTTAATTCCAACTGGAAGTTTCTGAGTCAAAATATTGTACATTTTCACCAAATGCTCAAAAAAGGGGTTTGAGTGCTGCAGCTTAGCCTTTGTTCCAAACAGGTTCAGTATTGATTAATATGAAAACTTTTAATTTAAAAAATATATTTAATGTGTAGTATTATAAACTTGAGAAATGTTAATAATTTTTCTGTAAAATTACTTGGAATTTATAATCTTTCTTGCCTTCACACTCAAATTGGTAGAGGGTTCCATCAACTGACAAACAAAATAATAAAAAAGTAACTAGGGGCCAGAGAGATAGTAAAGCCGGTAACGTACTTGCCTTGAACATGTCTAAGTTTGATAACTTTCACCGCATATGGTAACCTGAGCAACACCAGGAGAAATCTTTGAGCATAGTCAGAAGGAGGCCTTGAACACCAGCTGATGAAGCCCTCCCCAAACCAAGGAACTGTGACGAAAACAGACTTGTGTGGAGGTTATAGTCAGAATAAAAAAAAGGTAAAATATATGTATGCTTAGTAAAATTTAAAAGTAAAATGTTTTATCACTTAATGTTATGATGTGGAGAAAGAGAAGATAATAAAGAAGTCCAGAGAAAAGTTTGTCAATACCAAATCTTGATCAAGTATGACACCTAGAGGCCATACAGATGGAATTCCTTGGGGTAATTTTTAATAAGGCAAGATGTATTTATGTAAGAGAAAACTTTAAATTTTTCTTTCAAAGTGGACAATTGTTACTTCTCCACATAATGTTCTATGATTGATTAATTTTATTCCTTCATTTATTATTTTTACTCACAAAACAGGTATTAAAACTTATCTTCTTTTATGCCAAGTAACTGAATTTTTGATAACTGATATTACATATTGTCAACTACTCTCTGAATGTCATTGTCTGTATGTTATCTGTGGCATGAGGCATGTTTTTGTTCTTATCTTCTAAAAAAAAAGAGGGATCATCTACAGATAAAGTAAATATCCTTTCTGGGATTTGGAAATTATAGCAAAAATAATAAAGACATCCAATGATACCATATGAGATGTGATAGGTTAAGAATAAACTCATTTCTAAATATTAAAAAATATTCTCTGTACTTTTCATCCACTGATTTTGAAGACTTATTGCTCTGGCTCATTAATACTTGAACAGTTCTTTCTCTATGAAAAATGATAAACAATTTTCTTCATGGCAGACTGTACAGATGGTCAATTTAATCTGCATCCTTGAGACTTCTCTTGACTAAATGTTGACATGTCATTAAACATTTGTGTATTATATCATATTATAGAAAACAAAGATTGTTGTGGCTTGCGGTTTATTACCATCCACACATTTCACAGCCTGGAATTCTAACTGGACATTAAAACATTCACAAATGAACATGCATCTAAATATTTACATATATACACATGCATATATCAGATATATATGCATGCTTGTAAGTATATGTACATATAATTTTGAATGTGGAGACCCATATATGTTTGTACTGAAGTACAATAGAGGCATTAATAAGTAAAAGACATTGAGCAGTAGTAGTTAGGACAAATGTTTTTACTTAGTTTCTGTAATCTTGCCCAGTCACATAGTTGCTACTGTGTATAGTAACTACCAAATTTTATATAGATGAGGTATTGGGTTTTGTGTATAATTCCTGAAGTTGTAGCAGTAATGGTTAAACTCAACATTTAAAAATTATTTTGCAACCATGGATAAATGTAAAGATCAGACTCAAATTTTCTTTTGACATTAAGCTGTTAAGTATAGTATCTGATGGCTTTTCAAAGTACTAAGTAATTACTCTGAACAGTAAATTGTGCTATGTTAACTCCTCAGATTCTATCTTCTGCTCTAATAAGTTTCTACTTGGTGAATTAATATGGGACTTGCTAGAGAATTTTTACTATTAAAGGAGTATTTACAGTCTAAAATCCTCCCCGTCCCAGAGTTATATTTCAGGAGTTAAAACACTAGCAGTAGCTGAAAAATATAAACGGGATAAGAAAATGCCTTCAGTTTAGAGAGGTAGTAGTCCCCATGAGAACAGAACAAGGAAACCGTAGCAAATAAGTGTGTGTGTGTGTGTATACACACGCTTATAAGTGGTGTGTGTGTCTATGAGTGTGTATGCGCACGCGTGCACACGTGCGTGTTTTATGTGTGTAACTGAGAAACAAGTACTCTTTCAGGGAAGTATACATAATTATAATCATGCTTCTTTTGTATTTCTTATCAACCTATAATCTTTTGATTGTTGCCTATTTTTCACCAGTGAAGAAATAGTAATCCACACTAGCTTATCTCCCCTAATCACAGACTCACAGAGCTAGAAGTCTCTGAGCTTTTAATTCCCTCTTAGAGGCCTAACAGAGTGGAAAGTAAACAAAGACCAAATTTGCAACCTTCAACATTGCTAATTTCCTCTGATGTCAGAATATTTAAACAGGCAAGACCTGGGAATTATTTGATCAAACCTGCTTTTAATCTAATGCATGCAGAAGGGCTGAGTCTGGAATGATCTGCCAAACGACAGGGGTCCCAGGGGAGCTTTATGGAAGGTTTCCTCTTTGAGAAACAGTAGTTTCCTCATTTTAAACTCCTGGGCTGGCAATGGTGAGAGTTAGTCCATAAAGAGTAGTTTTCCTGCTTTTCAATTTTTATTTTATTTGGCTTCGTATTGCTGACCGGATGTGGATATCTTTGTTTGGCTTGTTGTTTGCCAAAAATTTAATACCTTGGGTGATATTTTTGCTTTCTTAGGAAATGACTTAATCAGAGAATTTTATTGAGAGGGAGAGGGAGAGAGAGAGAGAGAGAGAGAGAGAGAGAGAGAGAGAAGGTGAAACATGATCGATCTTACTTTACACACCTTCCTTTACTACTAGTGGGATAAGAAAGTGAAAACACAGAGAACAAAAGACCCAAACCTCTAGGTCCTTTAGTTAGACTATGAAAGACCTTTTCCTCCATAGAAAAAATCAAGATAAATTAGTATCAGGGACTTTTAACGAAAGAATTTCCTAACTTGGAGATAACCACATAATAGAAACTCGATGTGCCCATCAATTTTACTCATAATAGTTTGGCTACTTAAAGGTAACATAATTTTGACAGAGGGACAGGGGTGGCTCTTTTATTTTTTCATACTTACATAATAATCTATGATTTATTCTTATACAGTTGTATCCATATAATTAGTCTTGTGAGTACTTAAATACTATTTCATTTTAAAAGCAACTGAGGGACAATACTTGGTCACCGTAGATCAATATTTGCGTTTTTTTTTTTAAACTGAGCATAGATTGTTTACTGCTCAATATCTGGTGTGTTTTAGTGAACACGAAGAGAAGTAAACATTCCGCTCTCTGACTATGTTTTGCGCATCTGATCGTCAATACTTCTCCCACGGAAAGTAATTCGGAAGCCACTAGTGACAAATAAATGACAAACCCGGGTGCTTTTGTGTACATGCCCGCTAAGGAGAACACATTCCACGAGATCTCGCATTTGACTTCTGGGGTGCGAAATCATTTCGGTGCCTGCTATTTGTCAGGCCGGAGCCTGTCAGGTGCTGATTTCTTTTCACTGGCGTCTCCTTCCAAACATATTTCATCGCACCATGTGCACGGGAGTTCTTTGGGCGGGCGTGTGGGATGTGGGTGTCCTCACTCCCCTCCGCTGCTTTCTCTCTCTCGCCCTCGCGCTCCCGCCTCCCCCTGCCTCTAGCCCCCTCTCGCTCATTTGGGCTCACGCCCCCCTCCTCCCTCCAGCTGGCGGGCACCGCGCCGCCTCCCAGACCCGGCGGACCTGCTCCGGGAGCTGGGGCCCCCGCTAGGACCTGCCACTGTGCGCCGGATGGCAGCGGCTGCAGCATCCCCGCCGGTGGCGGCGGAGGCCACCGCGGACGCTATTGTTCCCCGATGTTAGACGCGCGTACCCTCCTTTGCATCTGAAACGAACAATAGCCAGAGAGGAGCTGGGCTCTCCGGACTCCTCGAGAAGACATTCCCCGGGCAAAAAAAAAAGAAAGAAAAAAGAAAAAAAGAAAAAGTCCCGAGCGACCCAGCGAGTTGTGCATCCGGACCCTGGAGCGGCTGCCGGCGGCATGGGGCTGCCGGCGTCCGGGAACCGGGGAGCTGCGGGCGGGAGCCGGAACGTCCTGCAGCTGCTGCTGCTCGGGCTGCTGCTGCGGGGCGCCTGCGGGGCTGCGGCGCCGGGCGAGGCGGCGGCGCCAACCCTCTACCTTTGGAAGACTGGTAAGTGGGACGGAGTGCCCCCTTCTTCCCATCTGGGTCCGCACCGAAACAACTGCTGGGCTGCAAGGGCGGGGGGTGGGTGGGGGTGGACCCCGATGCTTCTTGCTGCTCCGGGATGTGTTGGGTTCCGAAAGGTACAAAAGTATGAAAGCCCGGACAGCAAATTAGGTCATGTCCGGTGCTCTTAGGAAAAAAACAAACAGAACTCAGGCATTAGTGTGAGCCACTGTAATGATATTTCTCTCGCGGCTCCGCAGAGAAGCAACGCTGCACTTTCAAGAAGGACGTTACGGTGTTTGTAACCTCTGGGTTCTCATTCAATTTCGTTTCTTTCTTTATTTGTTTGCTTGTTTTACGGAGGGCAAGCGAACAGTTTCGTTGCGATCTAGGCAAATCATTTTACCCCTGTCTGGATGCAGATGGATACAGAGTTGCGTTTATTAAGAGTAGCTTTGTGATAAGTGGGACACGTGGAAGCTAGCCAACGGAGATCATTGCTGACATTTAAATTTAGGCAAATGGGGTTCCAGTGAACTCACCAGAGGCAACTGCACGTTCTACAGAGCTCAATTTTTAATAAGTGCAATTGTGGGATTTTTATGGTATACAATGATTAGGAGGCTTGCGTGTCAACTTTTCCTGTCTTGAGAAATCTTTTTGTTGTTGTTGTAGTCATTGTTTTTAACCAAGCTACAAAAGCAGCAACTAGTCTTTGAGTATTTCTGGGCAAAGTGCTTGCAGGAAGATCCTGATGGGGAGTGATGGGCAAGAAGACAATACCAAGAGAGGGATTACTACTCTTCTTGAGTTGCTCTTGATTCCCTGCTGAAGGACACCAGAATTCTTCAGTAGATCTAAAACTTTACGTTTGTCCAAATAGAGAGGAACGTGATTATTCCTATGTCTAAGGTTTAGGAATAAATTTCATTTCTTGGTAGTAGTTAATATATGAGTAGGGTACTGTACAAAGGAGGAAGGTATATATTCATCCAGAACCACAAACAAGTTACAGAGTAAGTCCTGCCTTGGCTGGCTTCAGCCATCTGTAAACCCCTGCTGTAGAGACAGATCATTCTATTCTACAATTATACTGGTATACTGAATTTTTAAAGAAGTCACACCTACTAGGCAGCTCAGTGAAGCTATTGAACAGGAATGCATTTAAAGGGGAAGTACATAATTCACTGTAGTGTTGCATGAAATAACACACAAGGAAACCCATTTAGAAAAGTCATTTATTAGCTAGTATTAGACATTCTTGTTAACAGTTACAGTTTAAAGATTTGTTGGTTTGAAGCTACCAAATTAATTTATTCTGATTTGAAACAAAGAATTGATGATCTGAGCTAATTTAGCTAACCCTGGGATCTTTACTTTTCCAAAACTCAGTCATCTAATAACAAATACTTAGCAAGCTATAATCTACCATTTAATGATGGGATTTGCACGCTTGATAACATTTTCTTGAGAAAGTAAAGGTTGAAATTTGTACTCTCAAAGTACCAGCAGCCACGCGGTAATTCAGGTCGAAGAGTATAGGCAACATTTAGTGTGTAGCATTTGAGGTGCCAATATATGTCAACATAAATGTCATGGTGGGAACACAAGCCAATAAACAGTTTAAAATAGTGGAGAGCTCTCAAAAGCAAGGATAAGGAGACCTTGGTTCCAGTGCAAGTTTCAAATCCTAGCAAGTTATAGGAATGTTGGCAATTCACTTAACTTTTGACCCTAGTTGTTTCAGTTGCATATAAATGTGATGTTACTTTCTTCTCACTATCCATCCTGTTGTATGGATCAGCTGGGTAATTATGAAAATCTGTACATTTTTATGTTATGTTCATATAAGTGTGATAATTTCTTATCTTGTGGGGATACCTGGTTTGGTGCGGGTAACGAGGGAGGTAAATTAAATTGGCAAGCAATAAAAGGATCTCTCTTTTGTTTAGAAAGGAAAAGATGTTGATTATATCTATAAAGGAATTGACTGTATTTATAGGAGGAATTCATAAAAACTTGGTGATTTAAATAATGATAAAATGTAGCGGTGTTAGAATTATGTGTTTCTTACTTGCTTAGAATAAAGAGGCAGTATAGTAAGTAACTGAGAAAGAAGAATGCGGTGAGGACACTGTATTCCATGGGACATGAATAGTCGTTGAATAAGCAGGTTCTTGTGTTCTTGCTTTGTAATATTCACTAATTAGAAAAGATGGTACCTAAGGAATTTTTAGTTCTAAGTTTTTAATATTTATGAAAATAACATATATTAAAACACATATACATGTTTATAGAGTATTAACTTGTGTATAGAATATTATACATATATAATATAATATAATAAGAAAGTTTTACTTATAAGGCATCACTTGTGATTTGTATGAAGTCATTATAGTAGAGGTGGACTAGAATAATGTCATCCCTACCCTTAAGATACTGACAATTTAAAAGTAGTGTAAGTGCACAATATTGCAGCAGGTTATACCATACTCATGAACAAAACATTTTGAGAGTACTGAGACTGTATTGCTTAAAAGGAGTGTGATAGGTAAGTGGAGAGTTTCAAAGAATTGTTAATAATTGATCTAAATCTTTAAGAATGAGCTTGAATTTTACCCACAGAATGAGTATAAAATCACTCCAAGCAAAGAAAAGATAGCACATAAAATTCAAAAGAAACAGCAACTCAGAAGTAGTTGGAATTCCAAAGCTTAGTTCCAGGATATGTTTGGTTGGAATTAATAAATAAGATGTTAATGAGGTGAATTGAGTCAAGATTTCAGAAAATCTTCAAAGTTTCATATATATGTTGGGATTTAGTATATTATCTGGTAGAAGTCATTGGAAGCTTTGAGCAGGGGGTTGATTCTTTGCCTACGTGGAAACAGATGTATTTAGAGGCAAGGAAGAAAGTGAGGGACTTAAAAGCAAAGGCAGTAAAACTACAACTGGTAATATAGGAGGGATAATCAGATTATCCATGACCTTATTTCATAGAAATGAGGACATAGTAGGAAAGAAAGCTGGGGGGTATGGGAGGTGGGTGGGTCGGTGGTAGTGGTCAAAAGAGATAAACAAGAGGTGACAAGAGGTGACAGGGGTTGGGATCAGGAGCTTCTAGAACATCAGTGGTGTAAAGGTATGGTATATGTATATATCTAAACTACAGAGTCACTAATACTACAAATATGAAATCTGAACTACAACAAACAAACTCAAAAATGACCCTGTCCTGGAGACATGCTGGGGCATGGAAGGAAACCTAGGGACACTGGTAGAAGGAAGTCAATGCTGGTGGTGCAATTAGTGTTGGAACATTTTATACCTGAAACCCAACTATGAATAACTATGGAAAAATGATGCTTTAATGTGTAGTCACTTTTTAATTAGCAATTGAGTAGGAGAGTTACAGGGTTTACATTATAGAGTTGCTAACTCAGTGACAGGGGCCCATTATATACCAGGGAGAGGAGGAAGGAGTGTCATTGAAGTATCTGTCATGTCTATATCTGTTTACCTCATATAAGAGGTATAATAGAAGGAATAACAAGGTGTTTTTTGATGTTGGAGAAGAGAAATATGAATTCATATTTACTTAACTTGATCTAGTAATTACCCAGTCCAATGAACTGATCAAATGGGGGAAGCTAGTGAGTGATTAGGTAATCTAGGAGAAAGTTAGGCTTACAATGTAATTTGGAAGTCAGCTTTATGCTATTTCATGACATTGGAGTACTAGGTATCATTAATTAAATCTATTGAAAATGTCAGAAATCTTACAAAGAATATTGATTTATAAAAGGAACAATGGCAGAAAGACAAGTGAAAAAGCCCAAGGAAATGTGTTTAGTACATACTGGTTCAAGGATAATGGCACTTGAATGAAGGGAAATATTTTTTGAAGGACACTGACAAAAAAGAATTGAAAACTAAGTATACGGGAAAATATATAAAATATTTTTAAAGGTCATGTAAAATGAGAAATTAGTAAAATATTATTTTTGGGGAAAGGTCATTTTTAGAGTGACAGAGGTATAAAAACTGCACTTTTTTCAATTAAAATATATAAAATCAGATAGGAAGAGTTATAAACAGCTCTCTTCTATGTTATAGGAATTGATTTTTAACAGACAGTATAATGTAAAATATTATGATGTAAAACTTTAACTTTTCAACAGCTTTGTGTTGCAGTCATTTAAAAGATGACTTTCTTTGAATTTTCCAAAGAATAGGTAACCTATTCTTTGAATATTTTATTTCATTATTCTTTAAATAATTGGAAAACATTACATACACAAGAAGTCTTTTTTGTTATTGAAAGATGAATAATTTTTGTCAATAAATCTAGCTTTCTACTTTTAAATACTTTATCATGTGGTCTCAATCATAATTACAGCTGATTTTATTAAACCTGGTGGTACCAAATTAAGAGTATAAATTTGGGGCAGAAGAGATAATAGAGAGAGTAGGGTACTTACCTTATAATCAACCTGGATTTGATCTCTGATACCACATATGGCCCCTCTAGCACTTCCAGGGGCATCCCTGATTTACAGATCCAGGAGTAAGCCCTGAGTGCTGCCTTATGTTGCCCCCAGACCAACAAAAATCAATGCTTTGATTACATTATGATCAAACTAGCATAAAACTGACAAAATATATCTAACCATTACTTACTTATGCTATAGAAATATATCTTCAAAATTTCCCCTAGTGAAATAATTTTATTTATTTTTTATAACAATAAGATTCTTGAAATCTTCATTGAAAGGTACAATCTAGTAACTGTTGTGCAAAATTAGGGTGATGATGGTATTGGGAGGTAAAAATTTTCTGCCAAGAAAATTTATATTTAAGCAGCTTTGAACTTGCAGTCAATGAAAGATAATACTACTTGTTATAAATATGCCTTTTGCACAATTAACCTCGTAAAATAATCTGTTTTCTTAGGACAATGGTGTCTTTCCCATTAATACTAAGGGTCTCAGTTCCCAGCAGTA